AAAATTATAGAAAAAGGACAATAAAGAACCAATAATTACATACAAGGAACAAAAAAAATTACAGAAAGGAGTTTAGAGCGTCAATTGCAATCTTTCCCAATATCCACTTGATATTAGGAAGGGTTAACTAATCGCCACCATACAATTACCACAATGTAATCATACCTTAAATCAAATATTTTGTTTGAAAAGTTTGGGCCTAAGACTCGTTTTTCAAAATCATTAAAATCGTAACATTTTCAGAGCACACACAGTGAAAACAAGTTGGAAGCATTTATACCAATCTGTGCATGCATCACATTACAAAATCAAGTCAAGTTATAGGCAATGTGTGGCGGCGTGCAATACATGGCCATGGCATGTGGCACAGAGCCACACGCTTGACCTTCTTTATGTCATGTGCTGCAGCATGAGACACCATGCACCGTGGCATACAAGTTCAAATTTGCTATTGTCATTTGACAGCAGAAATGATGAACTTCTGGCATGCGTTGTTTTCACATATGACATTCGATCAGAATGATTCAAATACCCACACAAAGCTTATCTTATAAGCTAATTAATAAGATAAGTTTGGAAATGATTTAACGATCTAATCAAAATTTAGACAATCAGGTGTAAAAAGTCACTTTTTACAAAAATTTCATGGATCCAAGCACTCAAATTGATCCCATTATCTAATTAGACCATATAAGGCCTTGAATCAAGTCCAAAAGGACCTAACACGTATGATTAACCACATTTCATCACATATATACACGTATCTCAAAATCTGAACATTCAACAACGTATTTTCATATTTCACAAAATTTCACAATTTGTTACAATTTAGCTCACTTAGTCCTTTCTCACCACACATCACCACAAATTCACCACTTAACATATTCATAGCTCAATTTTAGTCCTAATCACTCATTTCATCATATAATACCACATATGGGCTAATATTTACCAAAACTCATAACATTCACCACAATCTCTACATTCAACAAATTATAGCCATTTAAATCATGCATGCAACCCTATGACAACTCACATACACAAAATTCACATTAATTGGGTTCATTACACAATCTCAGAGACTTTCTATGACAACGGCACCACTATGCTAGTCTTGACTCTTTTCCCTTACCCTGTTTACTGCTTTATCCTATAAAAATGTAACCATAGGGGTGAGATAAAAATCTCAGTAATGGAATAACTCACTATTATTGACTATTACATGCAATTATATAAAAGCATAGCACATTATATCATTAAACATAACATGATCAGATGTTTCATTTCAAATCATAACCATGTATGTCAAATCACTTCCTTTTCCTCTTATTTTTCACTTTTCACCATTTTTTCACCTATATAAAATATAGCATGATCACCACCAATTGAACTTTCAAATCACCCTGACTTAAAACCATAGGCTTGCCTTAGACCAATATACACTATTATTGGCCTAAAGCTCACCTTTAGTGGTGGAATCACCCGACCCATGGTGTTCTATCACACTTTTGGACTGTGATTTTCCTAATACACATAATGGGGTGTTGTTGACTCCAACACTATTTCACACAGACACCAAGGAGTCTAAATTTCTAACATCGCACCTCAATAGGTACTAAGGAAATAATTTCTAACACCGCATCTTGAAAGGTACTAAGGAGATATATTTCTCTAACACCGCACCTCGTTAGGCACTAAAGAGAATATGCCATATAGTCTTATTACCATACTTTACATGGGTGAACTCCCACCCCTATGATCATGCTTTTTGAATCAATCATAGGTTCCCAGTCACCACTTTACTCATATATATACATATACACATTTCTATATCAAATTACACATTTTCATTACTTATTTAACCAAAATCTATTTTTATGCAATAAACATTTAATGCTATAAAACATGCTCAGTTTAAAACAATTATATACACTACATAGCATACTCACACATGGTTATAAAAAATAGACAAATAGAAAAAGTTATTCAGTTATTTGACCCTTCTATCATTACAAATGTTACCCGTGGATTTTAATTACTACTATAGCACGTCACAAACTTTCTTTCTCAACTCACACACACAATATACCAATCTATACACAATTGGCACAATTAGTCATTTAGTCCAAATTGACCAAAACTACTTAATTACTACTTATGGCTACATTTAGTCATCTATTCCTTTTTATTTATCTATTTTAGGTCAATTACTACTCAATTATCACTTTACATCACCTCAACTAGTCTCATTTCACTTAAACATGATTTTCACCCCATTTCTCTCTTGATTTAGGGCCAAATTGAGCTTACGGGTTTAAAGCTCTATCGTTTAATTCTAAACTAGTCACAAAGCTCTAATGTAACTACCGAAAACATTTTTATTACTATTGGATAAGAATCAAACCCCTTAAATTTCTCTAATTTAATTTTTCTACAACTCATATTCAAAGAAATTTGGGTAGAATGGAAGGTAAGTGTTATACATAGCTTACCCTGATTAGAAGTGCCCTCCAATGATGTGGAAATGCTTGCCCTAGCACACGTCAGCTCTTTATCCTCTTCCTTTCATGTGTTTCAATTTTTCTCTCCTGAACTTCACTCAAATTTCATGATTTAAGAGGTTATTTTTTAGTTCATGCACCGCGGCGCAAGCAACATTTGTTGGGCATGTGGCCCAATGGGAAGAATTCTCACTATGCGCACTTGCTTCGACCCGAAACGTAATCCTCTCACTCATATATGTTCATTTAACATTTTAATAAGTCAAATCATCACATTATCACCCAGAACCTTAATCGCTTCACAATTATAAATTTATTCCTAATTAATAACTAATCATAAGACTAGAAAATCATAATGTTACATCAACTAACAATCAAAGTTAACTTTTGTTAATGACAAGTGTCAAATTGCAGCATTTTCAAAAATTAAGAGAACAATTTGTGGAATAAATAAGTTTAGAGTCTATGATACTACTAGATATAAAGTTCAAGAGATAATTTGCCCATATATCTTTCTAAAACTATTCATTTTTTCTAATAGCCAACAAAACAATAAATGTTACCTTTTTGCAACATTTATAAGAATTGATGCCTATTGTTTTTACATACATAAAAAATATTCACTTCGATTTTTGATAATTTTTTCAATATATTTTATTAATTTTTAATTTATTAATTAGATAGATTCAAAGTTTATATTAAAAAAATTATCTACAAATATAATATTTTGTCTTATATGATAATGGTGTTGAAGAGTGATTAGGATGACCTAATTGCTCCTAAAAGGGGGAAGGGCTAGATTCTAAGTGGCGAAATTAAGAAATATTATATTTTGCTTATTTTATATTTTCACAAAAATTCTTATAATGTTGCAATACGTTACTAAGAAAACAATTGCGCCTACACCTTTAGGCATAATTTTGACGCCTATAACAACATTTTTTGGCTGTTCCTAGGTGAGAAATATTGCAGTGATAGTTTGGAGTGAAGCCTAACTGTAATAGTAAGAAGTTTTAAAATATAGTCCTTATAAAGTATAATTCTTCGTCTAAACTTAAACAAAATAAGAATCATAATTTAATGAAAATGTTTAAAGTTTATAAGAAATATAAATAAAAATTTCAAAATTATTTTCTATTTTGAAATTTATTTAAATAAATTTAAAATTTTAATATTTAATTTGAGAGTGTGTGTTTTGAATCAGACTCTCAAATTATATATATATATATATATATATTTATTGGAAATAAAGGTAAAACATAGTAAGGTTTAGTTTAGTGGAGTATTGCGTCATCATTACAGCTTCGTGAGGTTCTTTCGAAAATAATAATGCTTCCCAAATTGTTTGGACACCTATAAATAATAAACTCTGAAGGCTGCTTTAACATTCCCTTCTTGAGCTTGAAATCCATAAACACCAATCAATATGGTTCTATTTAGGCCAAAAAAAGAAAGAAAGAAAGAAAGAAAGAAGATCTATATAGTTCTAGACCGCATGTTGTCACTGTTTGCGCATGTATACTTTTATATTGCGCACTTATAGCTCAAATCACAGCTTACACTTTTTTTAACAATGAAAGGTTGTGGGATCAACCAAGGGGCCATGTATGAAAAATATGTTTTTTTTTTGCTTATTTATTATTAAAAAATATTTTTTATTAAATTTCATTTTTAATAAATTAATTATATATTAATTCTCTTTAAAATTACATATTATTTTTATGTTTATTCTTAATATATAATAAGGTTTTTTAATTACTCAAAATATTTTATACTTTTAAACAAGATATTTTGAAAATATGTCTTATTTATAATATTGAATAGAATATATATATATATATATATATATAACGTATGTGCACGTGGTGTGGGCGAGTAACCCTTCTCTCGAAAAAAGGGTTAGGGTAGGTTTGAGTGTAAATATAATTCATGTAAAAAGATTGAGTTTTCATTTATAACATATAATATTAATAAAGTTTTCAAGCATTTTTCTATCTCAAATTAAATAAAAGCTTTTCTATTTTTTTAATAGCTTTTCTGATAAAGATTATAACATTAATTTTTTAAATATTTTAAAATTCATATATTTATTTTCAATATCTATTTATTGATTAAACTAATTCACATATGATTTCATTAAAAAATTGTAGAAAGATTTACCATCAGATTTTAAAATTCATATATTTATTTTCAATATTTATTTATTGATTAAACTAATTCACATATGATTTCATTAAAAAATTGTAGAAAGATTTACCATCAGAACATAACTTTTCTTTTTGACTTTCAGGGGGAAAAAAAGGCAAAGAAGGCATTGCCACGTGGAACCATCCATCCCATTTTTTGCACTGCACATTTACACCTACCAACAAGTAATATCATTTTTTTTTCCCTGAATAAAGCGATGCCCACTATTCTTACCTTCCCCACTGACCAAAAAATCATCATTATCTCTCCCAACCAATCCGATCTACATTTTCACGACCACCATCTTATCATCATCACAGCACCACTTTGTCACTTTACTTATTTATTTGAAAAAGCGATCATTATCAATCCCATTCCATTGAGAATAGTCCAGTTTCGTTCATCCGAGTCCAATGCTTAAGCTCCTTGATTCTTCTCTTAGGCTCTGTGTAGTGCCACTCTCAGTAGCATCCATATGGATGACGGTGACTAACGAGCAGGATAACAGCGACTATGGAGTACTCAAGTATTCCAGCCTCTCTGGTCTCAAGTAAGAATATTGAAGATTCATTTCTTCATGATCTCCATTAATTTCTGTCCTGAAACTTTGCTTAAAGATTTGCTTAATTACGACAGGTATATGGTCTGTGTGAGTGCCATCTGTGCTATTTATGCTCTTCTCGCTGCAGTTTTCTCATGGGTTGTCAATCGTACTGTTTCTAAATCTTGGATTTTCTTCCTCTCAGATCAGGTTTCATGTTTCTCTGTGTGCCCATTTGCTGATTCTATGGAGATCATAGAATATCAGTATAACTAGTTCTGATTATCTGAAACCTAAAGCTTGAAAGAACTGATGAATTTTGCAGATTATAGCATATGTGATGGTTACATCAGTTGCAGCAGCAATGGAAATATATTACTTAGCTTACAATGGTGATAAGGAGGTTTCATGGAGCCAAGCTTGCGAATCGTATGGAAGATTTTGCAGCAAAGTGAAGTTGGCTTTGATCTTCCATTTCTTGGCTCTTTGTTGCTTCTTGGTCTTAGCTGTAATTTCAGATTACAGAGCATTTTCCTTGTTTGAGCCTCCTTGTGCTAACTTTAAAGCGGAGGAACAATTGAGAACTTAGTTTTGAAAGAAGATATAGACTTGCTGTGTCTGTGATTGTAGCTAGGTTATGAATTAATTAGAATGAAGAGGGGTTCCATTGTGGCTCAAGTATATAAAAACAGAGGATGCCTAGGAGAATGAATCACATGGGTACTTCTTTATGAAAGGAAATCTAATTTGTCCTGTATTAATTTGAATGATCGAAATATACTTTTTTTATTTTAATAAAAATTCATGGTGATGTTCGCTATTCAAATGTGAACTCAAAGACGAATTTTTTAGCAATTAAGGGACATTAATCCCGATACAGAGTTCAGTAGTTCGTCTCTCTTTCTTTCTCTCGCGGCTCTGGGAGCGAAACGAAGGAAAAGGCGTAAATGTAGCGAATAAGAGGCGCTGGCCCAAAAAAAAAACAAAAAAAAAAAAAAAAAAAAAAAAACCAAAAGCCAAAGAGAAAGGTTGATTTGGTTTTGTAAAATTTTATTTTTAAAAAATTATAAATTATTTAGCTAAAATATTTTATAAAAAAGCATATTCTCAAAATACATTCAAACAGTAACTGAAAGTTAATTTTTAAAACGTAATTAATTGAAACTTTTGAAAGTGAATTTGAAAAGTTAAATATTATTTGACAATACTACCCTAAATTTAATCTCTTATTCTTTTATTTAAAAAATAGTTAATTTATTAAAAATATAATTATTATTTTAATAATAATAATTAGGTATTAATTTTTTTAGTATTATAAATTGAATAATTAATTATGTTAGTTTTTAACATTAATGTGTAATAAAAATTTTTATTACATCTTTTAAAATTATAAATTAAAAAATATAAATAACTAGATATTAAATTTTTAGTTTTATAGATCAAAATTTATGTTATTTAAAATTTTTATTATATTTTTTAAATATTTTAAATATATTACATTTGTATAATAAAAATTATAAATCATTATAAATTAATGTCTTTTTTAATAATTGTACATTCAAAAGTATGTTTCATTATTATAAATTAAATAACTTTCAATGTATCAAACTGACTTTTAAAAAAATATATCTAAACATAAATTTCGTTACAACAACTGACTTTTATCAAATAAATTTTTACCAAATAAAATTTTTACAAACTGAAAATCAAACGTACATGAAAAATGACATGAGAGTTAAAAAAAAAAATGAAAGGGTTTCAATATGACCTGGTCAAATGATAGAATGACGATCTACCAGCTGCGGAGCCAAGAAGGGAAACAAGGCAATGTAATTTAAAAATTAATAATTAAAAAATTAATTACATTAAAAACAATATATTAAAATTTTTTGGTTAAAAATATGTTGAGAATGTTGATATAAAATTTAAATTTGGGTTAAGAGAGAAAAATGTTTAAAAATTTTGTTTAAAAGAAACACTCAGTATTCTTATTTTTTAGGAAAAATAATGTTGCCTCAGAATTGTTAAACTGGAGTAATGTTACCCTTTTTTAATTTGTAACCAATGTTTAAGTAACGTTGACCAAAAGTTGTAACCAATGTTTAAGTAACGTTGACCAAAAGAGGATTGAAAAATCTGATGTGGCAAGCCACATGGCAACAAATACCCTTCTGGCCTTCCCACAATCATTTCCGATTCAGGTTTATCAAGAAAACAAAACCAGCGAGGAAGATTGTAGAAGAGGGATGGATTGCTTTAGTACCCACGCTCAATCTGCACTTAAGAATCTTGACTAAGAGTAATATAACAAGCAATCAAGATCCAGCTTGAATGTGGTTCTTCGACATGTGGGTTTGGGCTTATCAACGAGTTCTTTCACACCTTCCTTCTATTTGACGAGATCTAGCTCCGATCCAAATGCTAAGGTTTCATTTCCAGAATCCAATTCGAGGTTGAGGAGGTCTAGCTCCAATTTGGGTTTGAAGACTAGAAGAAGAAGTCGTGCTCTTAAAAATCTCCAATCTTTCTGGAGAGGCTTCGGTCACACCTCAAGCCATCGAACAACACTCGATTTTTGGGATCCGTCTAGTTCTTGGGAAACTAGAGAGAGAGAGAGAGAGAGAGAGAGAGAGAGAGAGGGGGTACCGTGTTTCCGTGAGATATGATTTTACCAGGTGCTTATCTTCATCCTCAACCTCGGCCCTTCTCTCACTCACCCATCTTCCTAAATCGACCCTTTTCTGATTCTTCAAAAAAGCATTGCCGACAGTGGGAATATTGAGATAGACCCATTAGAGAAAAGTTAGGAAAATTCATAGAAAGGTGAGAAAACCCAAGACGAAAAGAACACTGAACCATAAAGGTTGGGTTTTCAGCCTTGCTACGATACAGCACTGCATAGTTAGAGTGACAAACAAACGGATCTAATTATCTAACAATACAAGCGAGGTTTTTGATGAGAGATTAGTAAATGGGTAAGAAAATGGTGTAGACTTTTCAAATGGGCTTGTTAAAATGAAGAATGAGTTTGAAAGAGATGGGACGTGGAGTAATCAAGAACAACAAAGCAAGGTAGAGATGGGGAAGTGGAGAGAGAGGCACAACAGTCCACAACATATCATGAAAACATTTCTGGCGGAAATTTCAATGGTCAAATTTTTATTTTAACAGTCAACGTTATTTAAATTTAACAATAGAATAATATTATTTTATTTTTAAACATTACTCTAAAGCTATTAAGTGCTTATTTAAAAAAATTTTAAAATATTTTTATCCTTGATCCTTTAAATTTGGACTCAAATATTTTTTTTATTGGATATAGAAGGTTCAAAATACCATGAATGAGGGATGCAAATTTGTAAATTTCTCATGCCACACATGTAATTTTTCCCATGTGACATGAACGTGGTTACTCCGATGAAGAGAAAAGACATGAAAACGCATCCTCTCCTAATCTTCTTTCTTCTTTTCTTTTCCTTATCTCATCTTCGCCCTTGAACAATAAAATAAATGGTTCATATTTAATTTTTTTTACCAACAAATTTAATTTTTTTATAAAATAATTATCATATAAGAAAAAGAAATAAATTTAAACTATTGAAATTTGACCTGCTTCATATTCTTAATGAATTCTTTTATAAATTATAATTTTTATTTATTTGCTTGCAGTTATAAATTGAGCAGGTTAAATTATAAAAATTTAAATTATTTGTTTATTTTACGAAGAGCATTTGGTTAAACTAATCGAAGAAGTTAAATTAGCTCATCATGTGATCTCGAGTTCAAGACCTAGGATACACAATCATATTAAATAAATATGGCAAAGGCATGCCAAAGTACACGTGAGGCTGTTATTTGTAATGTCTATCTTGACATTATCAAAATTTACCACACAATCACAACAAACAATCATCATTAGGAGTAAGGATTTTCTCCTAAGTTCACATTATAGATATAAGGGTTAAAACTAATAATTTTTAGAAATAATTGTCAAATATTTGGGATCCCATAAAAACCCTTTCAAATTTGTAGTTTGAGCTCAAATTTAATAATTTATAAAGGTATTGGAAGCATGAAAAAGTTTTGGGAAGCAAAATACATCAAAATAGGGCCAAAAATATCATTTTTGAGCGTTTTGGTCCATGCGCCGCAACTCATGGTCCATACGCCGCAGCTCATGGTCCATACGCCGCAGCTCATGGTCCATACGCTGTAGCATGTGGCACAGAAAGATAAGTTTTCTCATTGTACCATGCGCCGTGGCTTGCGCGAAATGCGCTGCGGCACACGTGTCCATGATAGCAATACTGTCATGATAGCTTTTCTGGACGAACTTCGAACAATCGTCATTTTCGCATCGATGTTCGATTGGAGTTATTCAAATGCCCACGCGAAGCTTATTCAATAAGCTAACTAATGGTATAAGTTTCGTTATAATCCAACACTGTATGATAATTTTAGATGCTCGGATGCAAAAGTCAGTTTTTTAAATGATTTTCAAGTATCCAAGTACTCAAAACTCATAACTTATACCATTAACCCATTGTGAGGCTTGAACCAAGTCCAATGGATCAAAATACACTTGAGTGAGCATTCAAACACACAAAATATACCAAACACAAAATTTGGCCACTCAATGGCCATTTCGCCTAATATGGCCAAAATACCAAATCAACACCATATATACTATTTGGCCTCTATTGCCACATAATACATTACATATACATTGTCACCGCAAAGATAAAACATTCCTTGCACTTGTAAAAGTATTTTAGCCTATCACCACAAAAATTGCCACATATTCACATCATATACAATATTGGGTTAAAATACAAAATAACACAGTGTGAAACAAGTGCAACCAATCAAAATGATATACATTCCTAGTTGGCAATATATAATCTCATCCATATAAGTTTATGTACATGACTCAAAATAAAATTGAGCTTTACAATGAGATTGTAGCAAGTATGCTAGCCCTTACCCGATTCCTTCCCTGGCTCAGTCTTAGTAGTAGAACCTGTAAAATGACAACCATGGGGTGAGGTAAAAATTTTAGTAAATAAGATAATCTATGTTATTGATTAACATTGATTAACATGCCAAGTTATAAACAAGCCTTAAAATAAGTAAAATAAACACACCATATAAAATCACCATAAGTTACATGCATGATCCCTAACCATCCAGCCTCTAATACTCCCAACTAAACCGGTAGGCTATTTCACAGAACTAAACCACATGTATGGTCCTTAAGCTCACCATCCATAGTAGGACTACCCAGCCAAGGTTACAATAAACCATTTCTGAACTAATGGTTCCCCTTATTACAAGTAATTGGGGTGTCGTTACTCCAACATTGCATCCTACGAATGTTAAGGAGCATATTCTCCAACTCCGCACCCTTTTGGGTACTAAGGAGAGTAAGTCTTCAATGCCATACCCATTTTTGGGCATTAAGGAGAGTAAGTGCTGCACCTGGCATCTTGAGGTGCCGCAGTATCATATGGACTTAATCTTTACTAACTCTACTAGGGTGACCTCCCACCCTCTAGTATGCTATATTTCACTACATATCTCCACTTGACCATGTATAAAATACTTTCTAAACCAATATAATGAATATTACTACTTAATTCAAAAACATGACATTTTACAAATCAATGCTCCACTCATTATCTAAAATAGTTAACTTTTACAAAATTCATACAT